CACAAGGGCATTCCAACCCAGATATGCAACTTGAGGAGGAGGCTTCATTTCCTGAAGTTCAGATGCCACCACTCGTTTCAGATGAAGTTTCGCCACCAATTCAGTCTTTCCCTCTTTCTCAAGACTCTGAAGAGCAGCTACCACCACACCTTTACTTCCTGATCCTTTATCTGATTCCGTTATGGTTTTTCATGCAAGAGGTTGTAAACGAATTAGAACTCCAAGAGTGGGTAGCTTGAAGTCTGATGCAACCACCTCTGCCCTGCCCATTTCTCTAGAATTGGAAAAGTTAAGGTTCCAAGACTTGGCAGATCAAGTCGGGCTCCTAGATCTTGTAGCACACATTCAAGAGAATTGCGTTTGGGCCCTATCGCTGGGAAACGTAAGAGAGAGTTGAGAATTGAAGACTGCTTCAACGAGCCCAGTCTTTTTAGACCACCTCGACGCCGAGCAATCTAATAGGAGCATGGGGCTTGTTTTTGGGCTTTGTTGGTTACCTATCTTGTTTGGTTCTATTTTTGTTTGTTGTGTCTGCTTGCTTGTCTATTGAATAGTGTTGGCTTGTAATCCTTATTCTATTTCTTATTAATATATTTGCTGGTTTTACCCTTTCCTCAAAAAAATAAAAATAAAATAAAAAACTTGTGTGAGAATTATGTCTGATTTTATGTTTAATCCTAGCAAACTTGATACGAAAATGCATAGCCAACTTTTAGAGAAGAAATCCAACAGTACACCCACCAAAAATTTGACACCAAACTCTGAAATATAAATACATAAGGGATTACATAAGGGATTAAAGTAAAATTTTTATGAAAGTTTCATAATGAAAATATAATTTGGCCATTTTACTTTGCTATTAAGAAATGGATCCTCCCTAGTTGGTGTGCAAATAAAAAATATAGATACTAGCAAACAAAGAGCTGACAATATTTCAAACAAATATTGACCATAATAGTGATAATATTTGAAGAAATATTGACAATAATGATGATAACATTTTCTATGGCATCGTTCACTAATAAAAACACAATTATATATAGTAAACATAAACGACAAAAAGACACACACACAAAAAAAGAAAACACAATTAAGATTAAATATATATCATTTATCTATTATTAACCTAATAATATAATTCTCATTATCAAAATGCAATATTTCATTAGTAGTTACTCAAATTTTCCAATAACTACTAAACTACTACCAGATTTGCACTCTCATTTGTTTTCCTCATTTGCAAAACCGAAAAGTTTGGGATCTGAATTGTCCATCCAGAATTTTTTGGATAGCTTATTATGTGATGAAAATTAATTTGTGTAGTGTGAAGTTTATGTAAGGTGTGGTGGAAATTAAGAGGGTGTTTGAGATGATTTAAATAAATATACATTTTAATTTTTTATGAAAAAATGTGCAAAAAAATAAAGAAGTGATATGACCTAAAAAAATAAAAAAATATATATACTTTTGTAAGAGATGCCAAATAGTATCTAAATTCTAGATAATTTCTAGATTGATAAGGATAGATTTGCAGTATTACTCTTTGCAGATAACCGCCTAACTTCCATAATTTGCTAATTTTATTTACAGAGCTCTCAAGGAACCACGTGGTAACAAGTTTGATCTACACTAATATTAAGTGAAGGTCACGATTGATATAATAAATCCTTACTCTCATCTCATATCAAGTTGAAGTGTGTTTTTTATTTTTATTAAAAAAAAATAAAAAAGATTTAAACCCATAACCATAAATTTAAAAAAAAAAGACTCATACTACATAAAGCTAAATACATATTATAATTTTAATTTTATTATTATTATTATTATTATTATTATTATTTAATTTTAATCTTATTTATTTGAATTATCACGTATTACTACGTGGGTGACTCACTAATTATTATATATTTTGACTTTTTAAATCATCAATCATTTCATATATATATGCCTCCGTTTGGGAAGTAGGTTGGCTTTTTGGCTTTTTGACTTTTTGACTTTTTGACTATTTTAGCCTGGGGCTAAAAAAACCTGGTTTGGGAAGGGCTTTTTGACTTTTTTGACTTTTTGGCTTTTTGGTGAGGTGTCATCTTGTTAAAAGACCAAATTGCCCTTTTCCATTTTTTTACTATAAGTTTTATATATTTTGTAATTTGTTGTTAATATATATAGATAATATATCTACCTTCCTTCCCAAATTGAGTTGGAATTATATTTTTTTATGTAATTCATATGTAACCATACAAATGGGAATTGAGCATTTCTATTAGCAACAATTCAGAGTATAAACAAAAAAAAAAAATAAAACAAATCTGGCCCAACTTTGTGATAACCGAACAGAACAGAGTTATACAAGACCTGGTAATTGAGCATTTTGTAAACAAGATCTGATAAGAACAGATTTGCAAATCACAACAGATATTAAGATGTGGTTTTCCTTCAGTGTTAACAACGGTTTGTGATCAACAGATCTGCTGTTCATAACTAAGAACAGATATTTGAATAAGAACATATATATTTTATATACATATATACGTATATATATATATATATATATGTGTACGTATACAAGTATGTATACAAATCAGCCCCAAATTTGTGATAACCGAACAGAGTTTGAGCATAAGAACAGATCCGCAACCCAGATTTGTCACAGAGACAGATCGGTGCCCCAAATGTGTGTAATGTAAGCTTAATCAACCTAATCACGACTGGAAATGAACAGATCGGTCATGAACCGATGCCGTTATCAACCCATACTACGCAGATCGGAAGAAGAAAAAGATCAATCAATAGGCCATAAAGCATTACCTGAATCAGATCGGTTTGAGTTTGAGAGGCTTGGTTCGTGTTCGCCGCCGCGGATGGGTACTCCGGTGGCGATTATCTCTGCGGGGGCCCTAGTCAGCTGTCCTCCGATACCTCGGTGGTTCTTCTCTTCGTCTTTCTCCAAAGGGGGTGTGAATAGCAATGAGGCGTTGATGAATACAGATTGATGAATGAAGAGGGTCTTCGGGGCATTTGAGTCAATTTACAGGAGTAAGGGTTTTTGGATACCCGTGAATGGCACTTTGTCAGGACATGGCTGAAAAAGCCAATTTTGTCGCGACGTGGCTATTTCAGCCCGGCTTCTCCTTCCCAAACACCACCTATATGAGTTTAAGTTGCACACAGTCGTTCCGTGAAAGTTAATTTTACGGACAGAAAATAATATTTTAGCACATGGCTACAAAATTTAAAATAAAATAGAACACTCATTTTAAAAGTTCCACTAGTTTAATTCTAGTTTAAAGTTAGTTAAAAATTTACTTTTTAATTTTTAAATTTTTTGAAAAAATATATAAATACATAAAGAGATAATATAACTCAAAATAAATTAAAAATTAACTTTTAACTTTTAATTAAATTCCCAAATTAAGTCTTAAACTCATATTTCCCTTTTCTCCAATCCCAAATCACATCTCTCTTCTTTTGCCCTACAAGCCCCATTGATACCATCTACCATTTTCACTGGTCATTTGTCGTCTCTTCTACACCAATGCCATAGCCATATTATATTTGTTTCAATTAATAAAAATAATTTGTAAATCCATTTCTGTATATACCCATAAAATTATTTTCTCCCACAAGCACATCACCAAATCATCGCCTCGTCAACTAAGGAATTTCTCTCTCTAAAATCTCACTCCACTCTTAGAATGGAAAATTTCAAAAGCAATAAACAAAATCAATTCAAGCTTCGTTTGACATTGATTAATATAGTCAATTTTTTTGTGTTGAAACTTTTTTAACCCGACCTTATTAACCTCATTTGGTTTAAATTTTTTGACAATATTGACTTTTATGAGAAAAAAAATATAATAATTATAAATTGAATGTGATATTTTATCTTATTAATTTATTTAGGCCTTATTCAACTAAAAAATCCAAAAAGTCAAAATTACTAAAAAAACTAAAAAATCTATACTATTCAAGGGTAGCCTGTGGAAAAAGTCACTAAGACAATTATTATTTTGCCCCTTAAATTCAACTACTCAAAAATCAAAAATTAAAAAGTCAAAAGGGTAAAATGATGATTTTGATTTTATTACAATATTTTATTATACATCTTTTCGTAAAAAGTTAAAAAAACTATTTCAAACATATATTTTTTTTCTCTATTTTTTTAATTAAAAAATCAAAAAATACAATAATATAACACATCCCAAACAACTATTTTAGTCTATTTTGTCATTTTATGTTTTTTTAGCCCCAAAATGATAGCTAAACCAGAGCTCAAGGTGTTTCAAAACAGAGAGGCCAATCAAATCAATCCATCACCCAATAAAACCCATATCACCATTTTTGGCCAATATATTTTGCTCATCTCCAACACACAGTCACCATCACCTCTCTCCTTCGATGTATTCACTTATTACTATATATACATTTATATTGTCTCCACTCATTAATGAGAAGAGAAATATACATGGTCCTAGAGAGAAGATGATCATGGGTAAGTTAGGGTTTATGGACAATGGTGTAGAGAGTAAGAGCGGAGAGAAAGTGAGAGTATGAAGCTCTGGGTCATCAGTCTGAAGAACGAAAGAGAGATTAGAGAGAGGGGCCTGTGTGGCTTTGTAAAGAGAAAAATTTGAACCCAAACGATAACTATGGTTGAGTTAAATGGTCCTCTTATTAAATCCAGCTAGGGGTATTTTTAATTTTGGTGATGTGGCACAAATCTATTGGTCATCTGTAAAGTAAACTTTCACGGCTCAGCCGTGTAAAACACAAAGTCCTATCTAGCTTGCTGTATAATATAACCACCATCGATCTCCGACACCACCAAAGTCCAAACCAATCGAAGAAAAACGTTCGGAACAGTTTCACAAGAAAAACAAGTAGAAGTGCCAGCAAGCCAAGCATGGGAACTATATAGCACCCGCCAACTGGGCAATCTAACCCAACAACAACTCACTACTCTTATCGAAAAAATTGAAGTTGTGGAAGGTGATGAGGCGTTGGAACTGTACTCCACCTAATATTTCCACCAGGTATGTATATATATATATAGTTATACAGTTATATACCTACCAACTGAAATAACTGTGTATTGTTGTCTGATTGGACTAGGCAAATCTGTGTTTACCTCTTACAAGGAGAAGTTTACCAAGATTGATGATGAGAAGCGAGTGAAAGAAGCAGAGGCTGTTGAAGGAGGATATCTTGACATAGGATTCATTGTCTATTGGGTTCGCTTTGAAATCATAGAGAAAGGGGAGGATTGTTGCATCACCAGACCAATGATTGAGTACGATGCCAAGGAAGAGGCTGCTACTAATGCCTCCTGTGGTCAGCATTCAGCCACTCGTGATGATTATGGAAGCGGCTGCCAATCATCTGGTGATCAACAACAACAAAATAGTCGAAGACCACCGAATGATCAATCATCATCAACTTCAAGTATCAACATTCCTGTTTGTCTGTCCTCCGATCCATCTTATGCATAACAATTATGAAATAATCCTTTTCTGTTGTTCTCATCGAATATCAGACTTACAAGAGTTTCATCGGTCTTTATAAAAATGCAATCTATTTTGAGTTCTTAGAAATTATTTCTTTGAATGGACATGATACAATAGAAGGGATACGGGAAGGGGAAGTGGAAGGGGAAGGAGGACCAGAAAAAAAAAAAAAGAAAAAAAAAAAAGATAAGACACATTAAATGATGACCAATGATGAGTCCATATTCAACAACATCAGCAAAATAAAATTGACTACACACATTGAAACCCGGTACCTTGAGTCATAAGGATTGATCTCTTATTATGCGTTGATGTTAGAAGGCAACAGGTTTCTTTATTATTAGGCCATCTAGAGGCCTTCTTCCCATCATTTTTCCATAGCTTTGCAGCAACCAGATTAAGCCCATTCCTCACATAAGCTGCAATGCGCGTCAGAAGCTCCCTGCAAAACAAAACATTAGATTTGACCCACGTATTGAGCACACAATCCTGACATTCTGAGCAATCCTTGCAGTCACAAGGAATCTTTTTGATAAACAGAACAAGTTTGTCATGTTATGTCATATTCATTTAGCGCAGTCATTTGGGCTCGAACCTCGACACACTACCATGTGCTTGGGCCAAGGGCAGAGCCCATGAGCTCAATGCCTAAACCTGTCTACAATACTGGGATTTTGTGGCACAGTGGCCACAACTAGGCTAGACACTTGCATCTTTAGTCTCACTAATGCAAACATTTCACGTTAATGATGTTATAGCAATGAGGCACATCTTAGCCATACTATAGAGCAAGCCAGAGAGGACGTGGCCTCTGAGCCACACATCATACTTGCCACAATTCTAGCAATAATCAAGTTTTCTTCAAACTTGAGGCAGACAATCTCAAATTTCCAGCTGGCTAAGTAACTTGAGCCTTAATCATCTGAGCCAAGCCTTAATAACCTGATGCCTCCAGCTACACCCTGTATGTTGAGACCGGATCCTCAATCCTCATTTCTCCTGTCTCAAATTACCTCTCTACCACATCATCAAAGTCAAATAGACTAATTGTGTGGTAAACAAGTGCTGGTTTGGGACATAGTGACAGGAGGATGGAGATAGAGGATCCCGCGTGCCATAGGATAAATCTCAATCAGAGTTTTTTACCAAACCCAAGTTACTACAAAACTTATTTCCCAGATGCAGTTTGTTTTTAGTTTACTTCCCAAAATCAGGTTGTTTTTTCTGAAGTCATGTTTTCACAAACATAAGTCTGGAAAAAGTTAAAAACTACTTAGGTTTGGGAAATGTAATTTAAAATGGCATGAGTTTGTAAAAATCTCCTCAATCCACCAAAAGGGATAATGAACAGATTGGTCCCCTGCATGTATACAGCATCTCCTCATTCTCCCTTGTCCTCTTTCACCTTCCTCAGTCCCCTCCCTAGCATGTTTTCAATTCTCCCACTCATCATCTTGTGTGTACTATCTCCCCATGCAGCCAACACCACTTCCCACACAACAGTTAATATAAGATTCAAATAACACCCAGCTTTTTTGGGACAATAAACAAATTTTGTAAAGGAGAAGCTAAAGATGAAGCTAGCAGCACATGAAAGCAGTCATGTTGCCATATATTTCGCTCAAAGTCAGGGTGTTGAGCAGGCTCAGCCTGAGCAACCCAAGCCCTACCCGAAATTTTTTTAAGGCTTGGGCAATATATTTTTGAATTCAGTGCCAGCTTGACCAGAAATTTAGAAACCCAAATTAAAGTCAGGCCAAGCTTGGGCAAAGACATCAACAACCCAAAGCCCGAAGTGTATATCAATATTAAATATACATATAAATTATTAGCCGTTGTATGATGTTAAAATGGATTGTTAAATCATATGCACTATATTACATATATTATATACATAAGTCACACAACACAAAACCTTACCCTTTTCTTTTCTCTCACAAATTCCAAAGACCACTGCAGAGTTACATTGGTTTCTTAATTCTCATCTCTCTCCTCTCCATTTCTCTCACATAAATTATTTATTTTGATGTTATTAATGGTTTTACCCAAAATAAAAAATAAAAAACTCTACGAGTCTAATTTTAACTAAGTAATCAACCTAACTAAAAAATAAATAAATTACACATTAGTCTCTATAGTTTAAGTAAAGTCTCACTTTAGTCCTTGTAGTCTTAAATTGAACCCTACACTTTCAATTTTGTTGCAATATGATCCATCCGTCACTTACAGTTAGAATTTGAAATGGAAAAAGACTACATGCAAAATAAGAGGGACCAAAGTAGAATTCAAAACAAACTATAAAGACTACCGGTGTGTAATGAATAAATTGCGCCAATGGTCCCTATATTTTCTTTTGAATTCCACTTTGGTCCCTCTAGTTTTGCACGTGATTTTTTTCCATTCAAAAACGTATGATGGAGAGACCATATTGCAACAAAATTAAAAGTGTAGGATTCAAATTGAAATTGTGACGACCAAAGTGAAACTTTGCTAAAACTAGAGGAGCCAGTGCTATAATTTACCCCCCAAAAAAACTAAAATTTATAGGCAACTCAAGCAATTTGGACCTAACTTGGGTTGAGCCTGGACAACTTCTCAACCCACCCAAGTTGCACCCCTACCCAAAAGTCATGATGCATGGAAAAATCCTTAAGATGATAATGAGTAGCCAAAAAAAAATTTAAGGTACAGAAAATTATTGTTTAAGATTACTAAACACTATACATTTCCCTCCAAATAATTAGATAAATCAGTTAACTTCCTAAGTACCAGTCATAATTACTAAAGGCACAACTAGGCCACAAAAAATCCCCAAACTTATTAAGGCTCGAAGAAAGCGCCACCAAGCGCCTTCAGTCAAGCCCACATAAAGCCCCCATGGCATATGGCCTTTTAGCAAGCTCTAGGTCAAAAAACTGTGCCCTTTTATTAAAAATAGTTCGATCATATATTCATCATTTTATTTTTCAATAGTCACCAATTGATATGTCTTATATTTGTATCTACAGTCTCATGTGTAGATGATAGGAAAAATTACCAATAAGAGTCTTATTTTGTTTTTAAGATTACTTTTGAGTTCTATCAAGTTTCAATATGGTAAGTCCTATTAGTCATAAAATATTCCCAAAAGGTTCATTCCTCCATAATGATGTATCTCATCCTAATTTTACCCCTTATTTGATATGAACAACAATTTCATAAATATTTTTAATCTAAGTAAAATTATATTTTTAATTATCAATCATAAATCATATTAAGAAATCATAAATCACAATAATTTTATTTTGTTTTAAAAATTACTATTGAGTTATATCAAATTTCAATATTAATAAATAAGTACTATTTTCTTTTTTATTTTATAAATTATTATAAATAATAAAAAAAAGTTCAATTATTCATAATAGTATATTTTATTTTCTCATTAAGATAATTTATATAAATTTTATTTTATATCAAATTTTATAAGAGAAATATTTTTAATTGTTGAAATTAAATAAGTTTTCATAAACAAAAGCACAAGTATAAGATTTATCGACTACTTCATGCATTGAGAAATATATGTTATAAATCTGTCATAGTATTATTTTCATAACTCTTTGGCATAAGTATAAGATTTATCGCCTATTTCATGCATTGAGAAGTATATAAATTTGTCATAGTATTATTTTCATAACTTTTTGGAATTTTAATAAAATTTAGACTTTTAGATTGTTTACACTAAAAAAATTCATAATTTGAAATAACAAAAAATGATGCTTTTTATACTATAGTCGTTTCGATCCAATTGTTATTAATATTTTTTTAATATAATATTAATAAATTTTACAATTAAAATGTTTAATTTTAATTAAGTTAAAAAAATTTATAAAATTGTTGTTCATATAAATGAAAAGGGGTAGGTCAAAAAAATATTAAATGAAAAGGGTAGAATTAGGATAAGATATACCATTATGAAGGAATGAACCTTTTGAAAATATTTTATGACAAATATGACTTAGTTGTCCATATTGAAACTTGCTAGGACTCCATAGTAATCTTCTTTCTTTTTTTTTTTCTTTTTTTTGAGAACAAAATAGGACTAATTGGTAATTTTTCCTAGACGATTATAATCAACTTTCATATTTTGTATTCTAGATTCATGAGCATGTACTTGACTACTTGAAATAGATTGTTTTTGGTGTTCAAAATTATAAAAAGGTTACAACTAGCTTTTTCATTATTGCAAATTTATCAAGGGTACTTGATTTATCTAATTCTCTCAATTGATATGCCAAAAATTTCACATTATCGTATCAACGATACATATTTCAAATTACTTTTAATTGTAAGTATGTTAATATACAATTATACATGCCTATCACATGGCGCCTTACTTGACTCAAGCTCACACTTTATGTTGTGCCTTGCGCTTGAGCTCTAGGAGGCTTTGTTGCCTTGGTGCGCGTGCATTGAATTGGGTCTTTAACAACTATGGTGCCAATTTTGCACCATTACAAGAGGGGATTCATGTTTTGACAAGTAAATTCAAGAAAAAGGAAATCATACTTACAGTGGTGAGCAAGGAGATCGACCTCCATTGAGGTAGTAGATAAACAAGAACGAATCATAATGCTGGCCATTAATGAAATAAAAACCATGCAACTTTCGTACACATTGGAAAGACATTTTCTCGTAGAAATGGATGGCTGGCATATTGTAAGAAATCACATGGAGGTAAACTGCTCGGCACGTCAGAATACTTGAGGCATAGTTGATAACCTCTCTAACAAGTGAAGTGGCTGAAAATTTAAAAACAATCTATTGGTGCAAGAATTCAAGAAGTTCAAAAAACATGTGAAGAAGTAAAAAACCTCTTACCTATACCAAAGTTTCTATAAGATTCTACCACTCCCAGTGTCAGAATGTAAACTAGTGTTTGATCTGACTTTGAGGAGTCAAAACTGAGCAAATCTTCTATCTGCAAAGCTAATGTTTACGTTAATCGAATAGAACCTCATGAAACATAAACTATAAGTGCCAGTTATGCTTTAAAGATAAGTAAATTGGTAAATGAGGGAGCAGTTCCCTTCAAGCATTTCATATGTGATGCAGAACGTCAGAAATAAACAGGTCATTAAGGACTCACCTCACTGTCTTTTGCTTGAACAACTCTTGCAGTAACAAATCCAATGAGTTCATCATTTTGACCGTTTGGTCGACTGCAGTCAACAGCTCCCCAAGATACAATGTCATGGCCGTTAACAACATTATGGAAGAACTCAGACTCGTACCTGTGAAAATCAAAATATGCTTCTTGCTAAAGAAAGCAACCACATAATCTTAAAGTTGGTCATCAAATTAGAGAGCCAAAGATGAGATCAGCTGACCTAATAGGGAATAGATCACAATGGATTTTCTCAAGCAACACTAAATCAGAGGGTCGTATACGCCTATAAGATATGGTTGGATGGTGGACACCTTTCAAGTCTACCATTGAAAATGGTTGCATTAATCCCCAGCAAAAAATTGGCATATTTCTTGAAGAACTCCTTCCATTTATGCCACATCAGCTAGGAGGTCCATGCAGTAGAAGCTGGTACCCAATAATGTAATTTTCCTTTGCATCAATTCCAAGTGATTGCAAACCCCGCCATGCAGAGATTAAAGGTAAGAAGCTGAGCCACACACATACTACTACTAGCCATCCCAAATTAAAAGTAAATTGAGTGGGCATGATTATTTTCAAAGACAACAGGTTTGATAGCTTTGTGTATGTCAGGCCTAATGAATCATATAAACCCTATATCTCAATCAAAGTTCTAGCAGCGTACTGTCACAAGACTGCCAAAAAGTTTTTCATCCTACTTCTCTACTTCAAGGTTCAAATTTCTGGCCAAGCTTCCAAAATGTTTACAAATTCAATGTGTGGTTTCACAAATTGAATGTCATTATGTTTCCATTAGCAAAATACACTAGACCAATGCTCCTGCGTAAGAAATAAGTACAAGTAACTGGTGGTTGATTTCTCTTTTTCTCCATGGGTTGTGGAGATATTTGAAAACCTATGGCATTGAAGCCCAAACGAGTAATATTCAAAGTTCTCTATTATTTTCCTCAATCTTTCAGTGAAATAAATAAAGCACTACATCCTTCTATCATCTTAAGCAAGCATAGTAGAAACTACACATTTAATTGCAACTGCAATGCAAAAATAAGACAAACACAGATTCGTAAGATTGTAATTTATTACTCCTGATATGTCAGATAAATGACATGACCAGAGTTGCCTTTTTCTAGATGGCATCTGCTATTGGCATCACACATGAACAATGTCTGAGAGTTTAGTAGAACAGAGTTGTTTTCAATGCTACATGCTTACATGCAGAAGTGTATACCGACAAAAAGGATACAACTCTTCATAAAAGTAAAAAAATAATAAGTATTACCTTGACTCGTCCCTTGACAATCAGTTCCCAAACTAGCACCAGTCTTACTGGACTCTTAAAGGCAGTTGTTGACACACAGCCTGCAGGAGTCAACCAGATTTATCAATTTCCCAATAGCCTAAGTTCCTCAAGAAAAGAAAGAAGACACACCCATGTTACAATCCTAAAGTTGGCCCACATCAGTTAACAAATGAGCTTGCACACATGAATATCAATTCTTGGACACCCTCCCCTTGCAATCTGGTTTTCAAAGGTAAGTTATACACAAGGGTTTGCATTATTTGTTATCAAATTCGGTCACCACATCGAGTATGGGATCAGATGCAACCTATGCGAATATGGGATCGGATGGGCCGTGACTTTGTGATTCGAGCTGTGGAGGGGCAACCTATTTATCAGATTAAAACACCTTAATATTGTGTGAGCATAGTACTATAGTCTACCTTCGGGTTAATGCTGATAGAGTAGGCCACCGTAGACATCAGCTACGGAGTATGGTGGTATATTATGATCCTAAAGTTGTACCATATCAGTTAATAATGAGCTTGTTCATGTGAATATAAGCTCTTGGACACTCTCCCCTTGCCCATGTGAATATAAGCTCTTGGACACTCCCCTCGCAATCCAATTTTCAAAGGTGAATTCTACCCAAGAGAGTTATCAAACTTTTACCAACTATGTTTACCCAATGGTAAAGTATATCTATAGACGAAACACTTATCGTCCAGTGGTAAAGTTTATCAATAGAAATATCACTTCATTGTAAATTTGATCTGCTAGAATAGACAAGATCATTTCATTGTAAATTAGATCTGCTAGAAAAAACAATGCAACAGCAAAAGCAACTGCACAGAAACTGGTTACTGCAGCTAGAAAAATGCAATTAGGAGTAAGAACCAAGTGATTAACTATAAATAAAAAAAACATTCGACAAGTGTTGCCAAGAAAAGCATACAGAAATCCAGAAAATCACAAAATTAGATGACAACAAACTCCTCGAAATGAAAATGAAAGCAATTGGAAATTAATCATAAGAAAGCAATATTGACCAACAAACCAACCTCTAACACCATTGACTTTGCTGAGCCCATTTTGATCAAATAGAAAATTAATCATAAGAAAGCAATTGTCAAAGTGAAACATTCTGCATGATGCTTGTAAAACAACTCTCAAAACCACTAGCATGAATTTAAACATTTAAGGCAGAAAGTCAGTGCATTAGTTCACTTCATGACATACAAACATCAATTTTTGTTTCCCAGCTTAGCTAGTTATGACAAGAAATAATATACTGGATTATAGTTGTAAAGAGACCGATTGGTTTCAAAGTCTAACTAAGCTATCACAAAAGGGCATCCCTGTCATTTTCAAAAAAAGGGTTATCTAACAGCCCAGTGTTATTAAAGGCGCACCTAGGCCCAAGTCCCATCCAGACCCAAGGTTTGCGCCTTATAGTATTCCAGGCTAGGCGACTTCGATAAGGCACGCCTAGGCCCAAGTCCTATTTAGGCCCAAGGTTTGCGCCTTGTAGTGTTCCAGGCCAAGCGACTTCGATAAGGCGCCTGACTAGCCCAAAGCTTGCGTCTTGAGGGCTTTTTTTTATTGTTACTTTAATTGGTTTTGTTTAAAATCCGACCATTGATTTAATATGGTATAGCTATAGAAGATCCTTACTCTTATTACAAATGCCAATACATTGGGCATTCAATCCTAAATCAGTGATAGAAGAAAAATTAGCCCTAATTCCTAATCTCCGAAAAATACTAAATGTTTAACATTTTATTTTGTTTATGTTAAACCCTAAATTATTTATTTGTATTAAAAAAAATTTTTTTTTTTCCGTACAAGGTGCGCCTCGCCTTGCGCCGTGAGCCTAGGCCCAGGAGACCTTGGCACTTTGGTGCGCCTATTGCCTTTAATAACACTATAACAGCCCCGTAAACCTCCCAAGAAAGAAAAAGAGAGAGAGAGAGAGAGAGAGAGAGAGAGAATAACAACAATAATCATAACAGTAACTGCATCCCTCAAGATAGATATGACATGGTGACAACAGCACTAACCATCAAGCATGAAATCTGCATCACCCAAGCCCAATCTAGAAAACAAAATAATGATGATTTGAACAAAGACAGACAAAGATTTGCCGATTAAAAAAAACAAAAACAAAAGCAAAACAAAGGCAAAGATGAATCAAACAATTCAAATATAACTATCCACTACAACAAAGTATCAAACAACTGAATGTGTCCTGACAAGGCTATTTGTCTTAGGCTGCACCCATCCTCAAACCCTATCCCAATGGTTGAGTTTCACAGTTAATTGCCCAATCATATCATATGGATAGAGAAGACAGCTTCCTGAGGAGACAATGCCTAAGCCTATTATATCATCTGGAGTTGTCATCTTTACGGAGAAGTCACCAAAAACAGTCATAAAATAAACAAAATTTCATAACAAGTTCAAATCCTGATTAAACTTGTAGTTTCTTGCTAAAAAAATCATCAATTAAGTATCAGAAACATCAATTACAATTTCAAATTCTTTTTCTGCCATTGATTAACTTGGATCGATTGCTAATATTTCATATTAATATATCTAAAAACACTAATTACAAGTTCAAATTACTTTACTGCATATCTCAATATAAAAAAATAAAAAAATCCAGCCCCGATTAGAGGATAATAGCCATGTTGAACAAGCAGGAAGGATACGACAGGATCGTTTCAAATCAAATATCAAAACCATTCCATTGCCAACTAATAAAAGAATTTCACAGGACTAATTTCATGTATCAAACGAATGAATGATATCAATTAAAAAAATCCATCAAAAAAAAGGATAAATAAAATTCATTCGTTAAATTCGATAAGATCTCTACATCGAAATTGAGACAAAGCTCTTACCTCGACCGATGGCGTAATTATACCAAAGTTGTGAGTTGAGAGAGAGAGAATCAGAAAGATGTAAGAAAGAAAATAAATGCGTTAATAACCCTAGTAAATATTTTCAGGGAATTGTTGGTTTGTTTGTGTTGGATTGGATGGAGAGTGAATTGGGAAGAATTGGAATCAAACGCTTTCTTATTCTTTCTTGCCTCTCAATCTTTCCTTATGACTTTTTGTTTCTATCGACGACTTCTATTGTATCCCGAGTTTGGGAACGTATTTCAAGTTAGGTTTTTTTTTTTTTTTTTTGGGATGTAGCGAACTGACATTTTTGTTGGTGGGTTAAGGATGAATACATGATGTGAATATTTTTATTTGTGTAAGATAATTATATTATGTGAATAATTGTATATGGGTTGAACTTTTAATATTATTTGTAGTGTGAATATTCACATTCTTGTTATCGTTGACGGCATCAAAGTAGATGGCATGAATATTTACATCAACATAACCATTCACATTATCAACTCAGAAGATGTGAATATTTAGATATGTATTACGAAATATAATTGTGAGTGTTTGTTGCTAGCAAAAATAAAATCTCCTTGTGTATATTATGATGCATGCATGGGCGTGGTGTGAATATTGCGTCGTTGTTCTCATTCACATCATCAAAAGTTACAACGTGAATATTCACATCATCAAATTATTAGTTATGAAGATTGATTTATGGGTTAAGAAATATCATATTCACACCTGTTATATTGTGTTACGATAACACTTTAAGCAATATTCACATCCATACAGTAGGGCTTTAAAACATAAGAACGTGTATGATCCTTCCGTGATGTGGAAATCCATATCATGTCGTGTGTTCAAAAAAAAAATACAATCTCAATGTACATCATCAACACAAAATAGGCCTTAAAATGCATATACATATATTGAATGAAAAATAACAGTACAAGTAATGAAATAGAATTGATTTACAATTAAGCTAGTCTACTCCAATATGTCAAATCTATTGACACTAAATTGTCTTCAATGTGGATAACAGTTTCAAGTAACTGTGATAGGTGGATACCTCCCACCTATAGGTTTTCATATTGCACTGTCTTTCTGTGATTCAGAAAAAGGTGCACTAATGAGTCTCTTATTTGACACAATTCAAAGCGATTTAGGCTATCAACAATTTCCTCACGGTATACATGCGCCCTCATGATGTAACACACTGCGGGCCTGCAATCCATCCTGAAAATGCAAAGTTGTTGTTAGATTTTGAAATTTAGGTGTGTATAATGGTTGTGGAAGATATGTACAAATTGATTTCGGACTTACGAATTTTGGAAGATGTGTACAAATTGAGGACAGATGTCTACTGATATGATTGGTTGCGATGGATTTTGGCCTGATAATTTGGTCTATAGTGGTGATGATGGTCCGATGTTACGCACCACAACCTCGATGTAGTCCCTCTGTTATGGGGGGAACAATGAAATTTCATATCAGGCATAAAGCAACATAGTGCATACGTCAAAGTTCAAATATTACACATCATGACAAGTATTATATATGTCAGTCACTTACCACTATCTGTGCTTTGTCAATATATGGGTCATATATATTAGGTCTTGGTCGTAGTGACTTATAATGCCTCCATAGATTGTCTTTGACGTCGTATACAACAATTGTCCAGTGGAAGTTGTGGTGTATTAGGAAGATAAAGTATCTCTAGCCTTGATAGTCATTGATATGTACATCAATCAGTTTATTTCTCTTGTGGGGGTACTCTTGCATGACTTTCTGCACAAAATGGGCATACAAAGATGTACCAAGTATTTATATCAATGTTCACTGTGAATGATGTGAATGTTCACATTTTTAATTTGTCAAACATTCCTATAATATATTACAGATGTGAATGTTCACACCTGTTAATTTCGCAAACTTCCCAATACACAAATGTTTATATCTGTCAATGTGAATGTTCACACCTGTCATATTATGTTGTTGTTAACATTCAAATCTGTCTAGCATTTAAGTTAACAATATAAGCATATAATGTTGAGATGAACATTCACACCTATTGAACATGCAAATCAAACACTGTTCATGTGAACATTCTCATCAACATTAAACATAAACAAACCAAAAACGCAGTTGTTACCAAACATGTGTTTGTAAAGATGAATGATGAATCCTTCAAAGTTGGGTTGACCAGCCTTATAGTTCGAGTAGAATTTCACCATATGCATCTATCACATGCACAAACAGATGGGTGGCAGTACATTATTTATAATGTCTTTACAGTCTGTATGTGTGTGTGTGTGTGTGTGTGTTTTGTACACATTGACAATTGCCATAAGTTGCTGTGCATTGATTCTTCCTTGATGACGTGTATGATGTCATCAAAATATGTGTTTCTAATCTTTGAGTCCCTTTACCATGCAAGCAACTTGTGCATTGTGATTACAGAAAATGTGAATGTTAATATTACACAATTATAAAATGATATAAGCTATTAAGTACATATGTGAAGCTTAACATCATTATAAAAATAAGGAAGGGATTCATAGTGAGGGGATTAATAGTAAGGGGATTAAGTAAAACTGTGTTTGTTTTGATAATAGTTGTTGGTGTAGGAATTGTTAAATTACTTTTATATAAAATAATAAAACAAATAAAAAAATACAAAAAATTAAACATTAATGTTCAAAAAAAAAGAAGCCCAACATGTAAAAAAATTAAAAAAAAAATCTAGTCCGCTTACTATTTTTCTAATACCACCTCTACCTCTTCCAATCCAATCCCCCTTCCAACTTCTATCTTAATCCCTTCCTCTATCATAATCTCTTCCCCCAACTCTACAAACAAACATAACACTAAATAGGCCCCACCTCTATCCTAATTTCATCCCACCCTCTACACCCCAAAACAAATGGGGCCAAAATTCAATCTGAATATGTATGATCATTTACTCATCATCGTTGTTCTTGTGCAAATTTTGGGCCTTCTACTTGTTGAGTTTGCTCATGTTGGCCCAAGCTTCAGTTTATTGGTTAATGTTAACTTCTTGTAATTTGTTGGGTGCTTTTTTTGTGGATATTTGTCTAAATCTTATACAATTTGGACTGCATAGGATTGTTCTTCAACTCCCTATTTCTCTTTTTTTTGACCAGGCAAGTCGGGATATTAAAACTCATCCAAGCGGTGCTCTTTCCTTACCTTCTGCTTGATGCGCTTTACCCTAGATGGTGGGTTTAGAATGTGTTCCAGTGCTGCAATGGGATGCTTCTTAACGCTGTCATGAGCCTTTTATGGTTCGACTTACGTGATAATATAGACGGACTGATCATCGTAAAGGTCTTGAAGAATTGTTTTTTTCATATTCTAGGTTGATGACCAATTTTTTCAACCGCTGAATTTTTGTATCTTTCCACTTGATGCAATTCTTGATGTCCATGTCCATATTGGATAGGCCTTGATTGGTCGAATAATTTGGCTTCAAGGGCAGAGATCACCCTTGCTCTCAACTTCCACGATTCTTCCAACTGTTTGTATTTTGCTTTCCATTGTCGTACGAGACCCCAAACTTTTTGGTTTTCTTTTATAAGTACATCCATAATGTCTAGTTCACTTGGTTGTGCTATGATGATACCTCTCTCGGTATTGGGGTTGTTAAAGCTGGTGTTGATGTCATCTTTAACATCATTTAGGTCCATTGTATCGCCGGAAATTCCATCACTGTTGTCACTGCCTTGATTGTCTTTGCTTTCATCATCATTGCTTTTATCTTGCTTTGCTGGTGCACTTGACAAAACCTTATGTTTGGACTCCATATTCAATTTTGTATGATGGTACATTTTTGCTTCAATTGTGGATGCCATCAGCTCGCCGCCATATACCTGGAATTGGAAACATTATGTTAGTTACATAGTTCCATGCCTCACTATGTGAATGGACATAATATTTTTGGTTATACTTTTACCTCATTTAAACCAAGCTTCGCCAAAGATATGGACTTCATGTTGGTATGTAAGGCTGTGAGGTCCCACTTCACACACTGCGTAATGACATTAGGTTTGCGGGGTTGTAAGATGGTTGTGTGCTCACACAACCAGTACTGAAACAGATAACAAACATCAGTAATGTGAATGTTCACATCAATAAACACTGATGTGAATGTTTACACTAGTGTCTACTAATATGTGTTTATCCATTACTGAACAGTAATGTGAATGTTCACATAATTGATGTCAACTTTCAGACCATTGCCTAGTAATGTGTGTTCCACATTTGTTTTGGTGCTAACATGAGCAAAACACTAGTGTTAATGTTTACATTAATACACATTGATGTGAACAACAACATAATATGGCTGATTGAGAAATTAACAGTACTGTGAACATTCACATTATTATACACTGATGTGAATGTTTACACCAATGTGAGTTTATCCATTAATGAACAGTAATGTGAATGTTAACATCATTGATGTTTACAAAATCAAATCCAAAAATAACAATAGTAATAGGGCAATGTAAATATATACATCGGTGATCACATTATGTTATCATTGGCTGAAAAACAGAGAGTGGAACCAACAACATCCAACAACACTAACAAGTCTGACATTGACGTTACAATGTGAATATTTACATCATATTCTATCACATTTTTGGGGTGAAGATTAGGGCTTCTATAGACATCAATAATCAATAAGACCAACATTGATAGTAATGTGAACATTCACATTATTATACACTGATGTCAATGTTTACACCAGTGTCTACTGCTGTGAGTTTATCCATTAATCAACAGTTATGTGAATATTCACATCATGATGTTTACAAAATCAAATCCAAAAACAACAATAGTAATACGGCAATGGAAATATATACATCGGTGATCACATTATGACTGAAAAATAGAAGGTGGAATGATATTGCTTACTTTTGTTCCTCATTGTGGGTGGGTACGGAAATCGATGGACCACACTTAGTCGACCGACGGGAAACACGGAACAACAAACCACCCTCCTTCCGATGTAAACTTTCGCATCGGTGAGATGAAGTGGAATAGTAGTGGCCAACAACATTGGACGATGGACGACGACGACGGTGGTAAGGCAATGTGAATCTAGGGTTACGGTTTGAGAGTTTTTTGGAGTCGACGATGAGATTTTCTTTGGGAAATCAGTGTTTTCTGGATTGAATAAATGGAATAGGAATGGTTTGTTTTCAAAATGGAATAGACGTGGGAGAAGTGAAGGGAGGGTAATT